ACCTTCAACAAGATTGCAAGCAACCACTATTAAGTTATGAGTTACTTTAAAATAGAGGACAGGTTAAAATACTAGAAAATGGTTAACTGAAGACTTTAAAAGTTGCAAGGTGTATTAAAAATGAAAACACAAAGATGGGGAAGAGTTAAAAGGCTTTTTTGATGTGCAAGGACAAAAAACTGAATTAATAAAAGTTTTTATAGCATGAAGTGACAGATGCAGTAAAAGGATGCGACTTGTTGAATAAGAAGCCAAGTAAGAATAAGTTTTGGTTTATTGTAATAGTGATGATAGCTCGTTTGAACATTGACACCATGATAGTATTTATAAAAAAAAAAAAGAAATGCAACCTTACAACAATGGGAGAGTGGTTCAAACTTGGCAGATAAACCAGGTCTAACTATATTTACAATGTGCTTTTAGACTTTGTCTGGGAGTTAGAGGGTTGTTATTTGTCAATATAGAAATGCCAACAATATTGCAATATTTTTTGCAGTAAATAAATAAGTTTAGTTGCCTTAAAAAATTTTAATCCACAAGCCACTGAAAGCCTTAGGCTGTTGCAGAAGGAAGACCAGATTAAAAACTAGAGCTTGTTCTAAGCAATCAAAAAGTGAAGATTTTTTATCAAGACAAGAGTTTAAAGTTGAGTTCTTAGCTAATAGAGGTACTTTAGATTTTTCATGAAGATTGTTATTGTAGATAAGAAACATTACAGGAGCAACGAAATTTCTGGTACCCTTAAAGTTAGTTAAAATAAAGTGGAGTGTAGGCCTTCAAGAAAAACTTTAATTCTGCAGTTAGAAAGAAACAATTTATTAATCTTAAAAACTTTATATAAAGAAATTAATTTATGTAAAGAAACAGAGAGAAGACTAATCATAGGATAGTTAGAGAGGTAAAAGTGTTTTCTAGAGAAGGATAGTTTGAGAGGTAAAAGTGTTTTCTAGAAAAATTGGAACCACTTATTTAGCACTTTTTAAAAGTTTAGCAAAAATTGAAAAGAATTCTGGAGAACACTTTTTTAAGACTATGATGGAAACCTTGTCTAAAGCATAAACTGTAAAAGTGTTCAATTGAGAATTAACTTTAGCATTAGAAGCCATAGTGATTTGATTGTTTAACAATAGGTTAATCTGTTTAACTGGTAGAAAGAGTGTGACCATTAGTTTCAAGAGTTAAGATTTTTTTGCAAAAAACTCTGCCTTATTCTGTGGAGAAGTAAAAAGTCAGACCCATGAATAATAAAATAAATGTTAGACTTACTTTAGTTAATGACACTGTTGAAGACTTATCAAAAGTCTCTAGGTCTAATAATCTGAAATAAAAAACAAGATTTAGTAAACTTAGAATAACAGAGCTTAACATAAAACAGAACCTTTTTACATCAACTTTTTGGAATAATAAAAGGACATTTGTTCTTAAGAAAGATGTTCTTGTAAAAAAGATGAAAAAAATGATTACTGTTTAATAAAGCTATTGCTCAAGATAGTAAAAAATACGGAGTAGTAAAATACGGAGTAAAAAATACGGGCTTGACTTTTGAAGAGAAGGAATAGAAGTTTTCAAGTTGTGATTTATTCCTTCTGGAATAAAAGTTTCCAAGATATGCTTTATGCATACATATTATGGGTATAAACATATATTTTTACTATTTATTTAGATGCTGGCAAACAATATCCTTTCATATTTATATAAACTTTAGTATTTATATGGTGTAGTATTTGCCAAAATAGAAGATGATCAAATGAATGTTTGGTGGGACTCTAACACAGCAAGAAAAGGAGGCAAAGTCTAAGACAGATCAATGTTTGTTAGAGAAGATTAAAATGATTTAGGTATCAGGATGTAGAGAAGAAGCTTCAGGAGGAAATGGTAGTGGTAGAAGTAAGAAAACTTGAAGAGTGCCTATATATTGTATGAATGAGGTTTAGTTAAAGAAAATGCTCTAGGTTGTTTATATTAGATAAATGGTTAAAAATGAGACTTTTTTAACCATTTATCCGGCACGGAAAAATTACAAGATTTAGTTGGGGTTGATAGCCAGGGATAGGAAAAAAAAATTTTAAATGCTTCATATATAATTTTATACTTACATTTACTATTTATTAAATACTGGAATATATTTTTATATTTTTAAACTCTAATTTACTTCTAACGAGGTTGCAAGCAACCACTATTAAACGATGAGTTACTTTAAAATAGAGGTTAGGTTAAAAAGCTAGGAAATGGTCAACTGAAGACTTAAGTTGTAGATAGTATAAAAAATGAAAACATGAAGATGGGTAAGAGTTATAAGGTTGATGATGATCATGATCATGATGATGATCATGATGATGATCATGATGATCATGATCATGATAATGATCATAATGATCATGATGATGATGATCATGATGATGATCATGATGATCATGATGATCATGAAGATCATCATGATCATCATGATCATGATGATCATGATGATGATGATGATGATCATAATGATGATCATGATGATGATCATGATGATCATATCATGATCATCATCATCATCATCATCATCATCATGATCATGATGATCATGATGATCTTCATGATCATCATGATCATCATGATCATCATCATGATCATCATCATCATGATCATGATGATTTAAAATAGAGGTTAGGTTAAAAAGCTAGGAAATGGTCAACTGAATACTTAAGTTGTAGATAGTATAAAAAATGAAAACATGAAGATGGGTAAGAGTTATAAGGTTGATGATGATCATGATCATGATGATGATCATGATGATGATCATGATGATGATCATGATGATGATCATGATGATCATGATCATGATGATGATCATAATGATCATGATGATGATGATCATGATGATGATCATGATGATCATGATGATCATGAAGATCATCATGATCATCATGATCATGATGATCATGATGATGATGATGATGATCATGATATGATCATCATGATCATCATCATGATCATCATCATGATCATGATGATCATGATGATGATCATGATGATCATGATGATGATCATGATGATGATCATGATGATGATCATGATGATCATGATGATGATCATGATGATCATGATGATGATCATGATGATGATCATGATGATGATCATGATGATCATGATGATGATCATGATGATCATGATGATGATCATGATGATGATCATGATGATGATCATGATGATGATCATGATAATGATCATGATGATGATCATCATGATCATCATGATCATCATGATCATCATGATTATCATGATCATCATGATGATGATAATGATGATCATGATTATGATCATGGTGATGATCATGATCTTCATGATCATGTTGATCATAATCATATTTGTATATGCATATATATACAAAATATAAAATGAATTTTGAATTAAAAAAATATACTTTAGGATGCATAAATGTTTATGCACAAAACCGGATCTGAATCCAGCCCCGGTTATACTTTATCAAATCTGGCCCCGGCTGCAGTCAAATATCAACCCTGGTTGCGTACTAATGGTTTTTAGTAATACTTTATTTGCATATTTAACATTAAAAACTTTTCATTGATACTTCTACAGATGGTGTTGAATAAGATTTGTTTATATTTATTTGAGTTTATGTTACAAATATATTTTCTTATATTTACTTATATATATTTTCTTACATAATTTGTTATAAATATATTTTATATATTTGAGTTTATTTTATTGTGTGAACTCTTATTTTTAACTCACCCAATATAGAGGGTACAGATTTAGCAGAAAGATAGTAAAAACTGTGTAGTAAAAGGATAGATAGTAAAAACTGTATAACAATGCAGAGACTAGTAGTAGAAGAATACAAAAGATACTTTAAAGAGTAATATTTTAGGGAAATAGAACAAAGTTAAAGAATAGTTAACAATAATAGTATAAATATATTTAATATCTTATGAGTATCAAGATAAGATGAAATGCATGTATTTGTAAATTATTTAATATAGAATTAGATAAAGAATATATACTATTAGATATAAATAAAAGTATATTACTATCTGATAATATTAATACGCTAATTTAATATTATTAGTCAAATTATGTCATTTTCTAGGCTTTTCTATTTTAAAGTAGTTTCTAGGCTTTTCCATACACGGTTTTTTTTTTCAATTTTATTTACTAACAACGCGTATTACGGGTTGCTTACTGCTAGTTAGATATAAATATGATTCATAATATAGCTATATCACTTTAAGATAAATATATGTGATAAATAAGGTATATAAAACAAAATAATATATATTTACATTACACATACATATAATGCACACCTATGACATGCAAATTATTTATATAATATGGAGTAATATATAGACCAAATTATTTGTTTAATAGTTCAACTAAACAAAGTAACAAAATAAAAGTAACAAAATTTGATTAAGAATAACAAAAATCAAATTTAAAAATAATATCAAAAACTTGAATAATTTTTATTATCAGTAGCTATCGGTATTGGTAGCAATTCATCGCTACAAATAATAACTCTTTAATTGATTGTATGTGACTTTAGAATAGTAGAGACAGCATAAAATTTTTGAAACCAATTGTACAGGGAAATTAAACTTTTGAATAAAGTAAATTAAATAAGTAATAATCCTCTGTCAAAATGCAGACCGGCTAATCTGATTTAGTTAAAATAAACTAGCAATGTAAGCCCCGGTTAAAAGTTCAGCTTTCCGTGATTTAATGTTAATGATTTAATTCAAAAATTCTAGGTAGAATCAAAATTAGGCATCCAAAACAAAAACTGCACTATTTAAATTATTGAAGGTAAACAACAGAAATAAACTATATCTATATTCCAAATAGTAATCGAGCATGACCTGTTGCCATATTGTTGTTGGCAGAAAAATTAATTAATCTAATAGCTCTTTTTTTTATTTATTCATATTTTAATATATAAAAAAAGCAATTAACAAATCAGAATTTAAAAAATAAAATCCAACAAAATAAACATTAGGTACCTCCAATTTTCATTATTGTGTTCCTTTTCATATTTCAATTTAACTTCATTCATTGTCAGCGAAGAACTAAGCCAAAAAGATTCTTTGTTTAATATATTTTCCAACTTTAAAGCATAAAACTTTGAAGCTACAGATATATTAGCACCCAATCTTCTTATCACTGTTTCCACAATGCTCTATTACAAAAAAAAAAGAGCACTTTCAAAAATCAAAACAAAATAAACCCTTTAAAGTAAAAAAGTCAACTTACTTTCATGTCAGAATTATCACCAAATCTAACTGCTCGAAATTCTCCATTAGGAAGGAAAACATGAAGCATACTATTTAATGTACTCTGATGTCTTTCAAGCTTTGTTGGATTGATCCCAGTGTCATTTCTTGACGGATTTGATACTGGCATACTTGCCACCAAAAATTATAAACGCATTTTTATGTATTTATTTTGGTATCATGCTAAATTATTCAAAATTTATGCTCATGGTTTTCTATAAAAAATATATAGCTCAAAAAAATAATTTTATTTCTTATTTTCATCCTTTTTTTCTTAACAAAGCTTACTGATACAATTAGTATAATTACCAGTGGGTATTTACATTCTTATGAAATCTTGTTGTTATTTTTTTCACTAACTTTTTTATTATTTACTTGTACTAAATACTTTTAAATATACAATTACATGCTAACCCAGTGGGGATAAAAAGTATTTTACAGGACATTTACAGGGTTTATGGGAAATATAAAACATTTTTTAAGAAAATATAAAACATTTTTTTAAAAAATATAAAACATTTTTTAAGAAAATATAAAACATTTTTTTAAAAAATATAAAACATTTTTTAAGAAAATATAAAACATTTTTTAAGAAAATATAAAACATTTTTTAAGAAAACATAAAACATTTTTTATGAAAATATAAAACATTATTTTAGAAAATATAAAACATTTTTTAAGAAAATATAAAACATTTTTTAAGGATAGATAAAACATTTTTTAAGGATATATAAGACATTTTTTGAGAAAATATAAAATATTTAATTAGTTAATTAAATTATTATTACCAAAACTTGGCTAAATAAAAATACACCTGACTCATTATTGTTGAATGGCAAGAATTTCAAAGTATATCGATATGATCAAAACAATAAAGGTGGGGGTTCACTTATATTAGTGCACAATAATATCCATTTACTTTAACTACTAAATACTGAAATTACATGTGTCGACGTGTTTGTCTCATCAATTAAGCAAAAAATACGAATTGCATGTATTTATCACCCTCCATGTGCAGCTATCAGTATTTTAAAAACCAAAGCTTCGTGCAAGTTAATTTACAAAATTACCTACTTGCGATTCTACATGCATCATAGCAGGTGACTTTAATCTCCCACTTATAAACTGGTCGATCCCAATTAGTTTCAGAGATTCATCTCATGAGCTTTTGTAAAAACGTGCTCCGCAAATGCTTTAACCCAACTTGTATCTGACAATACTCAACTTAACAACCTTTTAGATCTGGTACTAACCAACAACTCTAAAAACGTTTTTAATATAGAAACTATTGCCCATTCACAAGTACCTGCGACCAATGCATGACTATTTTCAACTCTATAATCTCCAATTTACAAAATGTAAACTGGTATTTAGTAGCCAAACAAAATCAAGATGTTGAAACATTCTGGCAAACTCTCATCTCATCGCATGTACCATTAACTTTTAATAGAAAAAACAATATCCAAACTCTATCCATCCGAAAATTAACCTCCAAAAAACGTACTCTCTATAGAGATTACAGAAGAACAGGTAATCCATCTATTCTTGTCAAATTCAAGATCTGCTCCTGTTTATATTATGCAGAAGTTCAAAAAAATTGCATTTCCAGAGAGAAAGATTTAGTTGTTAAATCCAATATCACCAAGTTTTACTCTTTCGTAAAAAAAAAATCCAAATGCTATTCAATTAAATTATATTAAATTCTGTTGCGCCATTACTTCAAACTGATGGTTCCCTTTATACAGATGATTGTGAAAAATCGCAACTTTTGAACAATTTTTTGGCTCTGTTTTTGTTACTGATAATGGTATTGCACCAGTCTTAAATTTACCAAAACACAAACATTCTTAAAATAATATTATATTTTTGTACAATTCTGTTGTTTCTCATCTACAAAAGCTTCCACCCAAATCTTGCAAATCCCCTGATGGATGTCCTGCCATATTTTTAAAGTCAATTGCAAATGTTATTGCTATTCCTTTTTCTATTCTGTTTGTAATGTCTATGTCCAAAAATGTTAGCCCTAGGATCTGGAAAACCGCAATATTTATTTATGTCCAATATTTAAATAAGGAAACCTGTCGTTATTCACAAATCATAGACCTATTTCTATGATATGTATTGTCTGTAAAATTATGGAATCAATTATCATGGAAAGGGTTACAAGTTATTTACTCCTGAATAGTTTCATTTCTGTGCATCAGTACTGTTTCTTAAAATGTAGATCTTCATGTAAACAGATGTTGACAACGTTAAATGAGTGAACCACTGCTGTTAATAATAAAAAGATAGTTGATATCATCTATATAGACTTTGAGAAAGCCTTTGATACTGTGTCTCACTTTAAGTTACTATTTAAACTGCGTTGTTACAGTATCAAGTATGAGTTGCTAAATTGGGTTACAAACTTCTTGACAAATTGTTCTCAACATGTTTGTATTAATGATTCATACTCAAACAGCATTCATGTAAAAAGTGGAATACCTCAAGGAACTGTTTTGGGCCCCATTTTATTTTTAATTTTTATAAATGATATAACCTTGTGAATTGAAAGGGATTGTGGTATCAAGCCATTTGTAGACAACTGCAAGTTGTATCAAGCAAGAAAAGACAGAAATAATATCAACCTTGTAAATACTTTAAAGAGAATTTCAAAATGGTCAAATAATTGTCAACTCGATATATCTACCAAAAAATGCTTTCACCTGTGATACGAAAAAAAATCTATTACCAGAACATTCATACTTATTGGATATCGACATGTCTATCAAATGAATTGATTTAATCCAAGATATTGGGATATTTATTTCTTCCGATATGAAATTTTCTAAACACTGTTCTTGCATTGCTAGCAAAGCAAGTTCTTGTGCTTACTTACTCTTAAAGTCTTTCATCAGTAATGATTCCCAACTTTTGATAAGAGCCTATAAAGTTTATATTCGACCAATTTTAGAGTCATGTACCCCTGTGTGGAATCCGTATCTCTTAAAAGATATACGCCGGGTAGAAAAGGTCCAGAAACATTATACAAAAATTGTCTGCAAATGGTGTTGTAAATCTATATATGTAAAATTTGCAGATAGGCTAAAAAAAATTGAAATTTAACAATATCAGAAAAACTTCATTAAAACCAACATATTATTCACCAGTTAAAAGATTTTGTTTACTATTACGTTTTAAATTAACATTATTGTTCAATGTTTTTTAATAGATTAAAAAAACTAATTTTAATCAGTTCAAAAATTTTCACAAAAAATTTTAAAAAAGTAGAAATTTTTCAACAATATTTGATCAAAATTTATTAGAAATGCAAAATCACATAAATATCTAGAAGAACTATTTTTACAATCAAGGATGATCTTGTGCCTACCATGTATAAAGTCAACTAAATTAATGTAAAATATCAATTGGAATTGAGTGTAAATTTCTTTGATTTTTCTGAAAAAGTTAGCATGAATTGTAAGCTTGATGCCTAATAATAGACTTTTAATATGTTCTTATAAATGACCAAAGGCATCTAAACTAAGTAAGTTGCTTGCGATAGTCACTTTGAAGCAGTTTACTTTTCTAAATTTTTCTGATGTATTTGATGTAACTGATGTATTTGCCTGTGTGTTTGGCATCGTTATTCAAATGGTATACCTATTCACAAGACATTTTATCCCTTAGATAAGGTTAAATAAAGCTATTATATATTTCTTTGCATATTTCTTGATCAATAGCTCCAGTATATCTAAAGGTAGAACAAACTGTCCCAACTATAACATCCCAAAACCATTATATTACTTTCTCCAAGTTTTATAGTATGCAGTTGGGATTTAGGATCAAATTTTGTACCTATTTGATAAACAAACTTGATTCCATCTAATCCAAACTGCATGTTTTCAACACTAAAACCAATCTTTGACCATTGTTGACTACTCCACTTTAGATGCAGTGATGCAAATTCTTCTTGGGCATTTCGGTTATTAAAGAAAATCAATGGCTTTTTAGCTGGACATCTTTCAAGCACACTTAAATAACAATGTTTTTTAATAAAAATCATAATTCATTTCATAAAAATGTTTTATTTGTTTGTTTAAATTAACAGCTGTCAAACAGGATTTTTTGATGTTTAGTATCATGAGCATTTTATCACAAATATATGTTGTTTTGTGAAGTCTTCCATATAGGTTCGAAAGCTATCAGCTTTCGAACCTATATGGAACCAATAAGTTCATATTTCTTCATTAATTTTCCAGCAGCAGGAAATGCGCTATCTTACGAAGCGCATTTCTATATGAACTGATCTCACTATCAAACTTTTTACTGGAAATATAATATATATATTTTATATCCTGTCACCTCAACCATTTATGATTGTAGCTTTTTAATTAGTTTCGCAAAGTGTTTGTTACCAATAAATATTTCAGGAAATATTAAAAGCTTCTGTATGTCAGCAAATTTTAGAACTCATTAAAAATCTTTATTTTTTAAATCAATTAAGGTAAGTTAATTTAATAATCAAAACTTGATCAAAACATAATAATCATGAAAACCTTTTATTGGTATATAATATGTTGGATTTAGTGTAATTGCTGAAATATTAGTAAAATTCAACTTTATTTAGCCTGTCAAATTTTTCAATGCTACTGCATATTTATATGAATAAATACGCGTTTGGATAACATATCTGACTTAACACTGAAATAGTCTGCTGCAGGGGCTTCAGTACATACACTGAATATCTTATAGTCTGCTGTCACATTGGAATGCCACACACACACACACACACACACACACACACACACACACACACACATATATACATATATAAACATATATAAATATTCATATATATACATATACATATATATATATATATATATATATATATATATATATATATATATATATATTTATATATATATATATCAAGCCTTGTGATGAATATATATATATATATATATCAGGCCTTGTGATGAATAAAAACTGCGCGACGCATAAGCACGACGTGATTTTTGACGTCATTAAATTCTTTTTATTTGCTTTTCATATTTTTCGACATTAACTGCACCAATTTACTTAATTACCACAAAACTACTTTAAATCATTAATGTAGAAATGTTATTATTTAAAAATGTTTTGGAATGTTTCGTTTTTTAAAATGTAAAAACATTTGCTTATTTTCTCGACGTTTGACACGTTTTGTCTATACTAAACGAATAAAAAACATAACTAAAATTTAAAAAAGATTATAAAATATGCTAATATTTAATTTTTTTTTTCTCAAATATGTAATTTAAAGTTTTTCAAATAATTATTTTTTCTTTTTAAAAAGTCAGCGAGTAATAAACTGGAAATTTTTTTTTTTTTTTTTTTTTTTTTTACATTTATTTTGCTGTTTAACAAATATAATCAACACATATATATACAAGAAAGAAAGAAATATGTCCGTATAACAAAGAAGACAGTAAAATCTTGTCAACAAGCACTGTTTTTGTATATACAGTATATAAAATAAACTATACTTTTTTACAATTATCTTTATAAAATAAAGAGTTAAACAGACAGAGGCTCAAAGAAGATGAAGATGACAAAACGTCATCGCAATCTTTTCATAGAGCCCCCTATATACATTTTCATTAGGTTATGGATATTAAATTAAATTAAAAACCCTAATGGGCATAAAACTGCTGCGCTGATCAATAAAAACAAATAAATAAGATTATAAAGAAAATTACTTTGTAATCCTTTTAAGCACAAATAATAATCAAATTTTAAAAATTTCTTTTTTTATCAGAAACTTAAATGAACTTAATGACTTTGCCATACATTTGGATCCTTTTTGATATTTATTCCATATATTTGGCCCCCGATATGCAATGCTATATTCAGTATACTGCCGCCCTAAGTAAAAACGCAGTAAACAACAAAAATGACATTCTGAGAAAAAGCCACTTTTAAATTTTGTGTGTATATATTTTTTTAACTTACGGCAAAATGAACTATGGGTTTGATGACTTCGGAACATACCACAATATTTTTATATAGAGCGTTATTACACAGAAAACGATGTTAAAACGTTTGGTGCAATAATCTCGATTTTTCAATTTTTGCGATTACTGCGTTTTTTCTTAGGACGGCAGTATATTTATTAAGGTTTTGAGGCAGTTTATATGTGTTACTTATATTTGCTATAAGATAGTAGTTTTCATTTATGTTTATTTCAAACTTGTTAAAGTTTGTAGGAGAGAGATTATTATTAAATTGATACATAAAAATTAAATGCTGATAGATATTTATTTCAAAAACATCCATCATTTTCATATCTTCCATTATAGGTTTTGCATGCTCCCGCTTATTTTTAAAGTAAATGATTCTGCATGCGTGTTTTTGTAGACTATAGATTTTTTTATGTTTTGATGGCTGAGTACTTGCCCATGATATGTTTGCATAGCTGATAAAGCAATGAATTAGTCCAAAGTAAATTAGTTTTAGACTTTGTTTATTGATATATGAGCGAACTCTATACATCATACCAATTATATTACTGATTTTAGATTGATTATATCTTATTTGAGGAAGCCAGGATAGCTTCTCATCAACAAGAACTCCTAAGAATCTAATGCTGGCTTGTTTTTTAATTAAGTTATCATTTAGGATAAGGTCAGGCAACTTAAGAGGAAGGTTTTCTTCTTGCGCCTTTTTATGGAATAATATATATTTTGTTTTCTCTGAGTTAAGTTTTAATATTGTACGATTAAAAACTGTGCAATAACTAATATTTTTACCAGCGATTTTATATAATATTTTTTTATTTATTTATTTTTATTTATTTTCATAAGGCGGTTGATAAGCACAATCATTCGTATTAATAAAAAACTTAAACGAACGTTTTGAATAGATTTTTAATGTTTACAAGGAATTTTATTTCTAGTAAAATAAAATAAAATGTTAGAATAAAAATCTTATAGGAATAAAAAAAATATTTCAGCGAAAAAATTATTTTTAAAAATTATTATTAAAAATTATTCGAAAAACTATTGACGTTCTATTTTTCAGCAGCTGTTCCTGAGCACACTTCGTTGAGTTTCGGTAACTTTTAACATAAAAGCGATCATTATTATTCAAGTAATTTTTTTGAGTTACTTTTTCAAAAATTTTAATAACTGTACTTTTTTATTGAATCAAGTAGAATATGTTTTAATATTAATCCTTTTATTTTTTTTTATTTGCGCTCACCAATTTTTAAAATGTTTCCTCGAAATTACTCTTAGATACTTTAAATACGTCTAACAGTTAATAAATATTTTTAAATCTATGGAATAATTTTAAAACCTAACAAACCCCCATAAAATATTTATTTAAGTTAAAAATCTAAAACTAAAAGAAAGTACTTTAGTTCAATTTTATCGACAACTTTGCTATTGCTGAATAATTTTATTAAAATGTTAGCTGATAAGATTTAAACTTTTTTTTTAATCTTAATTTTTTCTACTAGTAAATAATGAGCATATTTAATTTTTTTTAATTCAAACTTTTATATCAACTGCGTGCGGTTTTTAAAATACTTTATTAAATGTTAAAAGAATCGTAAATTACTTCATTAAAATTCTGCTCAAAAGTATATTTAAATATACTCAAACAAAAAAATTTTTTTTGCTTAACGCAAATAGCCCTAGCTACACGCAAAATCGCTCTTGGACGACGTAAAATTCACATCGCTTAACGCTTTATCGCAAGGCCTGATATATATATATATATATATATATATATATATATATATATATATATATATATATATATATATATATATATATATATATATATATTTATATGAATGCTGACCTTAAAACCAAGGGTTAAATATATATATATATATATATATATATATATATACAGGGCCGCCAAGAGGGGGGGGCAATTGAAGTAGTTTGCCCCGGGCATCACAGTCTATGGGGCATCACATGCCTTAAAAAAAATTATTGAAATGATAAAAAATTTAGCTGATAACGTATTTAAAGATTAAGCAATTTTTGTGTATTAATTTCTTTCTCCTTTTAAACTCTGTTTGCATTTAAAATAGGATAATTATTACTTTACAAGGTTTTCATTATCCATTTGAACGCACGCGTTTTCATTGGCCTTTTGTTCGCATGATAGAATAAAAAGCGTTAAAAATTTTTTTTTCTTATTCAACGTTTGTATAAGCCTGACTTCTGATAGTTTAACTTATTTTTGCTTAAACCTTGCGTCCCTGTGGATACTTTTGTGCATATGTATGTTTTTGACTCGCCTGCATTTTGTTCCGACTATATTTTGACAAGAAACTTATCTTCAGTGGATATTTTAATTGTACTGACTTTTTCTCTGCAATTAATAACACCAAAGTATTATAAAGTTTTTAATTTTTAAAATTTAAAAAGTTAAAATTCTTTATATCGTCATAAGTTTTAGCATGAATAATCAAAGACCTCCACGATTGAAACAGCTGTCTGGAGTTGCTGGGAGAAAAAGAGCGATGATTCGGAAAAAAAAACAAAAGAAAAAACAAACGAACGCTTTTAGATTGCGTTCGTTGGACAAAAATCGAAGATAAATGCAAGCAGGTAGTTAAACTATTTTTTAATCTTGTGACGTTCATGAAAAAATAATTAGAATAATTCTGTTTAATACGTCTTTATAGTTCAATGATATTGAGATCGGTATCAATGACTCTAATGAGTTGCCAGACCATAATTCCGACAAACTTTCGTTTTTTGCATTTCAATGATAATCAGCTGTGGGAGGTCAAAGAAAGATTCCTTAAGCTAGAAGAACTTAAAAAGAAGAAGGGATCTGATATAACAAAGTTGATATTGAATGTGTTGGAAGAGAATGAGCTTGACATAAAAAATTGTCGTGGTCAACTCTACGACAACGGCGCTAATATGGCTGGTATTTACAATGGAGTTCAAGCTTTGATAAGACAGAATAATCCACAAGCAAGTTTCATTCCTTGCTCTGCTCACAGTTTGAACTTATGTGCAGTACACGCTATTGAATCATCGGCTCCTGCAAAATCCTGTTTTGGAAATATTCAAAAGCTATACAATCTGTTCAGCAGCAGCCCAGTTCGTTGGAAAATTCTTCAGGAGGAGACAGGCCAATCATTACATAAACTTTCTGTTACACAATGGAGTTCAAGGATTGAATCAGTTAAGCCACTAGCAAAAAAGCCAAGAGAGATCTTGAAATCATTACATCGTCTAAAAGAGTTAGACCTTCCAGACGAAAGTAGTAATGAAGTGCATTATCTCATTAAATGGATGAATTCTTTTGAATTTGTTGTTTTCACTACTTTTTGGTTTAAATGTTTGATGGCAGTTAACAACGTGAGTCTTCTGCTTCAATCCACTCAACTCACTCTCGATGATGAAGTAAAGATTCTAAATGGCCTTTTGATGGATCTGGATCGAATCCGTCTGTCTTGGGACCTGATTTTGATAGAGGCAACAGAAGTTGCAAAGAACTTGAAATTTGATAAAATAATGTTTACTGTGAAGAGAACGCGAAAAAAGATCATCTCAGATGAAACTGCTGGTTACAACCACGAAGAAGCATCAAAAAACTTTGAGTGTAATGTCTTCAATGTTGCGCTCGACAATCTGACTAGTCAAATGAGATCAAGATTTAAAGTAATAGAAGAGGAATGTAGCAAGTTTTCCTTCCTTTGGTCTTTACAGAAATCTCAAACAGACCAAGAACTAGGTTTAAAAGCTGAGAATCTGGCTAAACTTTACCCAAAAGACTTATGTAAAAACGAATTTTCTGATGAAGTTCGGCATTTTTTTTCCGTAAGAAGAAATATTCTAGCCAGCGAAAAGCCTGTCGAACTTCTAATGAAGTTTATGCAAAGGGGCTGCATTCAATATTTCCGCAAGTGTGTGTTTCTCTTAGAATCTTTCTAACATTGCCCATTTCAACATCTGAAGGAGAAAGATCTTTCAGCAAGTTAGCTATCATCAAAGATTATCTTCGTTCCACAATGGGCCAGGAGCGATTGTGCTACTTGATGATCCTTTCAATCGAATCAGATTTAGCCATTAACGTTAATTATGAAGAAGTTATTTCAAATTTTGCTGCTAAGAAGGGCCGGAAGATGTGTTTGTCGATTAAGAATTGATTTTATCATAGTTTGTTCTTGCAAATCAAAATTAAATGTGATTTTTGGTTTTTTATGAAAGTAAACTATATTAATTTATTTGCTATTTTAAGACCTGAAGTATGATAGGGCATCCATTAAACTTTTGGACCTGGGCATCATAAAAGCTCTGGGCGGGCCTGTATATATATATATATATATATATATATATATATATATATATATATATATATATATATATATATATATATATATATATATATATATATATATATATATATATATATATATATATATATATATTATTTATAAATAAAACTGCATATTTTTCACAACTATTAGTTTCATGCTAAATGCAATCATCAGGTCTGATGTCTAATGCTAAATGCAATCATCAGGTCTGTCAGTCTTGATGATTGCATTTAGCATGAAACTAATAGTTGTGAAAAATATGCAGTTTTATTTATAAATAATATATATAAATACAGCTCTGTTTTAATTTAAATCATTTTAATTTACTTTAATTCATCGAGCACTCTCGCGAGGATATATGCAAGCACTAATACATATACATATATATATATATATATATATATATATATATATATATATATATATATATATATATATATATATATATATATATATATCCTTATAGTGTTATTTATTAATGGTAAAAATAGTCTCTTTCGACTACAATTTATTTACCAAGCAATTAAATTAATGTGTAAGTACATTAAATTTTATTGTTTTTTTAAAAAACTGCAATAATAATGACTAGAAAGTTTTTTTAAAAATTAGTGGTGTTTTTGTTTTTGTTTTATTAAAAAACATTTTTAAAACATGCGTAAGTGTTGCTACATCGACTATCTTATAGCCTGACTCACAAGGGAGTGCTGCTACATCGACTGACAAATAGCCTGACTCGCAAGGGAGTGCTGCTACATCGACTGAGGGTTTGGTTTGGGCAGGCAGTCTATCATTTAAAATTTAAATATATTCACATCATTTATATTTATATATATTCACTTCTCACATGTTTTAGCTATTTGTCTATTAATGTATTGGGTTGTAACATAAGTTCGCAGAGTTTTGCGTTAGAGTTATTTTACAAGGATTTGTTTTGTTTTTTAGCAAAGTGCATACATTCATTCGAAAGAGCTCTTTCTCGTCTACAAAACAATTTTATTTGTTTTTTCGGATAATTTAATTGTTCGTCTTTTTTCTGGTTCAGAAATGGAATACCTAGGAGGAAAAAATCAGCATTTTTGACATCTGCTTTTCTTTGCTTTTCATCGAGGTCAAAAAGCAATTGAAGCCGCTCGGGACATATGCAGGTGTACAGGGAAGGTGTCTTAGGTGTGTCTACTGCACAAAAATGGTTCGCAAAGTTTAAAAATGGCAACTTTGACCTTGAAGACACGCCTCGAAGCGGACGACTTGCAGAATTCAACGAAGAGCATCTGAAGGCACTATTGAAGGAAGATGGTCGCCACACAACTCGTGAATTGGCTGAAAAAACGAACATCAGTGCAATGACAATCTCTTGCCACTTTCAACCAATTGGTTTTACTCAAAAACTCGGAGCATGGGTACCTCACGAGCTTGACGAAGAAAACAAAGAAAAACGCCTTCAAATTGCTGCTCAACATCTCGCCCGCCACCGAGCAACACATGGACACAAACAGCGCTTTTTGTATCGAATCATCACGGGAGATGAGAAATGGTGTCTGTACGTCAATGTGAAGCAAAGAAAGGAGTGGGTGGCCCCAGGAGAGACGCCAAAGCCGAGAGTCAAGCAAGATCTTCACCCAAAAAAGGCCATGATCTGCGTTTGGTGGGACTGGGAAGGCATGATGCACTGGGAAATGCTCGAACAAAACACCACTGTCAACAAGGAGGTCTACATTGTCCAGCTGAACCGTGTAAATGAGGCTATTCAGCTGAAAAAACCCAATAGACAAGGTCAAGTCATCTTGCTCCACGACAATGCCAGGCCCCATATTGCCCAAGTCATCAAAACAGCACTCCAAGAGCTTGAATGGGAGGTTCTTCAGCATCCACCGTACTCTCTGAATCTTGCACCTACTGACTATCACCTTTTCCGCTCTCTATCAAACCAAATGAGGGGTGTTACCTTTGATGGCGAAGAGGATCTTAAAAACTGGCTCAACAACTTCTTCAACACCAGACCGACCGATTTTTGGCAAAACGGCATCAATAAATTGGTCGAGAGATGGGAGGAGGTCGTAAACAGTAACGTAGAATATATCATTGATTAATTTATTCTTATAATTATTGTTTTTTGTTCTAATAAATCTTTAAAGATTGTAAAATAACTCTAACGCAAAACTCTATGAACTTACGTTACAACCCAATATATAAACAGTAAAATAAAAAAAATTTTCCAGTCTATTTACTGTTTTTATGGTTCTTTAAAAAACAAAACTTAATTAGTTTCCTTGATAAATATTAATGATTTTTATATAGTGCACTTAATTTTTAAAGACAAAGAGTCGTTAAGAGCTGTTTTTTACTATAAAGTGTAAATTTTAAGCTTTTACTATATGAATATTTTTCTATACTTCCAGACTTCAGTATGCTACAAACATTAAAAAATGACTATTAACAAAAACAGTTGTTAGCTAATTAAAATGATTCAAGTCATCAAATTCTGGATGGGTTGTAAATAAAAACTATTAAAATAATTAAGGAAATTATTTAATAGTTATTCAAAAAATCATAAAAAAGCAAATTTATTGACTAAAAAGATTTTGTATTTTTAATTAGAAACCATATTGTTTTCTTATATTATTTTTAACATTTTTCTTTTTTTTTTTTTTTTGTTTTATTGACTGATTTATCAAAAATTGGTTAGTTGCACACATAAAGTTACAAACTAATTAATAAAGAGACACCAGAAAACATATAATGCAAATAAACAAACAAAAAAAAGTTTATTACATCAACAAAAATAAAATTTAAAATTTAGAGAAAAAGACAAAGAAACAAAGAATAATAATAATAGTAATAGTGACAAAGTAAATTACAACAACAACAACAACAACAACAACAACAACAACAACAACAACAACAACAACAACAACAACAACAACAATAGTAATAATGAAAATAATAAAAATAAAAATGATAACTAAAATAATATCAATATAGAATAAATAATATCAATATATTCGCATATTATCAAAAAATAGTAATTATAACATAAAAGTCATTATAATTATTAATATTATATATATAAATACATATAAATATTAAAGCAAAATTATTTAAATATTAAAATATTGTTGATATAAAATTAATATAATTAATAGTAGTCATAGCAACAGTAAAAAAAAATAATAACTATTATAATAAAATTGTTAATATTAACAGAGTCAATTTCAATCCATGACTACCAGCATTATTTTAACAATAAATATTAACTTCACCATAAAATTAAAATTCTACAACAGACAAATTAAAAATTGCTTCCTGATATTAATAAACATAGTGCAAAACAAATCACAGGTATGTTGAATAAGTCATTTACTAAAGACAATACAAGAGTACAGAAAGAAATTCTAAAGGAACACACTCAATATTTTTTTAATGAATTTTATTAAGTAGTAAACAATCAATAACAAAAGAATATTTTTCTCCAAATCATTTTTAAATTAAAGGAATATACTAGTTTCATTGGGAAATATATTGGTATTTAAGGTAAAA